CCCCCATTGCCCTTTACCAGGAGGGGCAAGGGGGGAAAAGGTGCCCTTCCAGTTTAAAGGATTGCCTTGGCAAAATAGCGAATTGTCAGAAATGTTAGTGCAATTCTTTTACAAATTTGCTTCAGAAAACGCAAGAAATGCAGTCGTCGAGCTTCAAGAATAGCACAATCGCCTGGCGGAGAACCCCCTCACACCCCTATCATCCAATAAATAGAAAACATGATTAGGCGAACTTCAACTGCCGATGTTTTGCAAACATCTCTTAGTATGTATCAATACAAAAGTGATACGAAAATCTGCCCCCTTGCCTTCACATTGTTCCGGCGTCCCTAATCATATGAATATTGTATTGCATATATTCTATACATATTAACCTAATTTCACAGAAAACTAATTTTATCAAAGTTTTGAGTATTGCGTTTCATGAGCAACCATGTCTGGTGAAATATCTTGAACACTACAACATCCTATAAATATTTAAAAGAAAAATTTAAAAAAATGTTCACTACAATAATTGACCTTAGAAGTCATTACATCATATCACAAAAATAATTTGAGCCGCATGTATCCCACATTGAAAATTGTGTGACGTAAGGATTATGCATGTGAAATATCTTTGTCAAATTATACATCCTTACCTGTAAGTCCCATGGCTAATTTAAGTTCATCTTTGAAGATCTGTAGAACTTTGGCAACGCCTTCTTCACCCTGGAGAGACAAGAATCTATTATTTCAAATTCTTGTATGGCTGGTAAAAATAATTAGGAAAATCTTTATACTCTACCTGATATGCCAGTCCCCATAAAACAGGTCTTCCTACAAAGACAGCTCTTGCACCGAGAGCTAAAGCTTTAAAAGCGTCTGTACCAAACCTCACACCACCATCTAAATATACTTCACATTTCCCATCAACTGCAGACACTATCTCTGGCAATGCTTCAATCTAAAATACATGAATGTAGCTGAGTCATTGTTTACTGAGTTTCTCACTCATTGGTGAGTAGATTTCAGGCTATTGCCCAATTGATTGGGGATCCGAGGTAGTAGAGGTACTTATGATTTAATTAAGATTCTCATCCGAGAAGACACAAACATGTTATGTAACCATTTAGCATCCTTAGCTGTTGCCAAAAAGTGGGAAAGCAGGTGGGTTTTTTTTAAACTTATACAGTACTAACTTTTAATGCCTTGGTTTTAGGTCTGAAACTGGATTTTCTTGCACAGTACAGATATTTTTTTATATATTTCAAAATATTTATATATTCTTTAAATTCTAGAACAAGTTTTTTATTTAAAAGATTTACTATATTGCAAGTTAATATCTTTTCTTCTTTTAAAGTTAGCCCGTTTCGTAAAAAAGTTAGGCAAATGCTAAACTGACATTCCGGAGATAACAACGCTATCGAGTAGGGGCGTGGCCAAAAATGTTCGATGACGTCATTTTCTGAGTCAGAATTTTACGGTGAATGGTGGGCAGGTGAGGATGCTAACCAACTATGTTTTTGTGGCCTAAAGGTAGCATTTTGAGTAGAGGTCTGACCAAGGATTGAACCCGGGTCTCCCACTAGCTTGATTGGGTAAGTGTAGCGAGCACAACACCACAAATGCTGGTGAGCAGATGCTCATGGTCAGCCAATAGTAAAATTCAGAGGTAAATAAATAAATTTGAGAGATGTAGCTTGCTCCTAAGTTTCAACAGTTGAACACTAAAAAAGTTAGCAATAGTTACCGTAGCAGGCACAGTGTCAAGTTGTCGTGCACCATGATTTGAAACTAAGATACCATCAACGCCATACTGCACTGCCAACTTTGCATCTTCTGCAGTCAAAATGCCTTTTAAAACAATCCGTAACTTTGTCACCGACCTCAACCACAGAATAAAATCCCAGGTTAGAGATGTATTGATCAATGATGCAACAAACTTCGCTAATCCTGAACCCTTGTTACTCTTGATTCCAGTTGCATAACTGTCGGTGTAGTTGGCCAACGTCAAATGAGGGGGTAACCCAAACTTGTTGCGCACATCAGCATACCTTTGTCCGATGTATGGCGCGTCCACAGTCACCGCAATAGCTTTAAAACCTGCCCTCTCTGCTCTTCTTATCAAGTCTATTGTAACATCTTGATCTTTGTAGAGATGCAACTGAAACCATTTTAATCCAGAGGAAGCACTTGCAACGTCTTCAATGGTTGATGTTGAACCTGCACTCAAAGCCATGCATGTGCCAGCTTGGCCAACAGCTAGAGAACAATTAAGAATAATTCTACTGTAGGGTGAAACTATCCACGCATGCGCTCTGTTAACCCTTAATTTAAGTGGGAATGTGCCCAGCCAGGGTGCATTCCATGTAAATTCTATGCCGAAGATATACACCAATATTAACTATATAGATAGTATTGTAATTTGCCAAACTCACCCCGGATATCTTCGCACTTTTGTGCACGGAATGCGCCCTGGGCGCCCAGATATGCCCTACTTTATTATTTTACTCTGTCCAATGCCAGACGATTTTACTCGTCAGGAGGAGAGTGCTGCCACTCAAAGAGTCAAAGGGTTAAGGCAGCTTAATTTGTGAATTTGACAATCAGAGAACAAAAATAAAGGGGTTCATTTTCTACTATCGATCCAAGTGAAAAACAGTTTTGGAGGTTCCACTAGGGGAATGCATGAAATTATGGTTCAGAGTGAACTACCTTTCGCTGTTGCAATTTCTCCATCAGGATGCGCCATCTTCTGCATGGCAGTTGGCGCGACACAAATTGGAAAATCAATTTTCTCTCCAAGGATTGTTGTGGACATATCAATGCTTGAAACATCTCGCAGCACACGAGGACGCAACCTCAGTCTGCAGAAAAATATACACATGGCCTGTTAGAAATTAATTTCTAAATATTCTAATGAATTCTAATTACTTCAATCATAATGCACACAAAGGTCAGCACTTGTTTCCAACCACCAAACTGACAGAACATCATTTTCGGAAGATGGAGTTAAATGGCAATGTAACTAACACAAACCCTACACCTAGTCTAACCGAACCACAACCCTAACCAAATTAATAAAAAAAATAAACTTTAAAAATTGATGAAACGACGTATAAATTTGAATAATGTCAGTTTGGTAGATTGGAAACAAGTGAAAACCCGTCAATAAATTGAGCAATTTTTTAAATTTCATACCTGTCAAAAGCACATCTGTTCTCTCTCAATGTAATCCCTTCATTCGCTCCAGAACTATAATAATCCCAGGCGTTCTTTGGGAGAAATTCTTTGGCATGATTTTCAAAATCAGAAATACACACTGGCTCTGACATTATTCCACATTGCGTGTTTCCACACGGAGATAGAAATTTCACAACCACTTCGACCATTCATGCAATGCTCACCAATAATCACCAACAATTTTGTTTTTTAAACTTCTTTTCAATGTTAAACTCATTTACTCAATACAGGTCCTAGGGTTTTGGGACAAATAGGCAATTTTTTTTCTTCAGTGGTGGGCAGAGGAAGGGGCCCACTGGGGCAAATGCCCCACCAGTGCATATGGTATTAAAAAATGCCTTGAATATTTTTATATATTCTATATATATTAAACTAATTTCACAGAAAACTAATTTTATCAAAGTTTTGAGTATTGCGTTTCATGAGTGACCATGTCTGGTGAAATATCTTGAACACTGCAACATCCTATAAATATTTAGAAGAAAAATTTTAAAAATGTTCACTACAATTAATAGTTGACCTTCCGAAGTCATTACGTCATATCACAAAAAAAATTTGACCCACATGTATCCCACATTGAAAATTGTGTGACGTAAGGATTATGTATGTGAAATATCTTTGTCAAATTATACATCCTTACCTGTAAGTCCCATGGCTAATTTAAATTCATCTTTGAAGATCTGTAGAACTTTGGCAACGCCTTCTTCACCCTGGAGAGACAAGAATCGATTATTTTCAAATTCTTGTACGGCTGGTAAAAATAATTAGGAAAATCTTTATACTCTACCTGATACGCCAGTCCCCATAAAACAGGTCTTCCTACAAAGACAGCTCTTGCACCGAGAGCTAAAGCTTTAAAAGCATCTGTACCAAACCTCACACCACCATCTAAATATACTTCACATTTCCCATCAACTGCAGACACTATCTCTGGCAACACTTCAATCTAAAATACATGAATGTAGCTGAGTCATTGTTTACTGAGTTTCTCACTCATTGATGAACAGATTTCCCACCAGGCTATTGCCCAATTGATTGGGGATCCAAGGTACCTACAATTTAACATCCTTATCCAAGAAGACACAAACATCTAACCATTTATTGATGTCAATATAAAGGTAGCACTTTGACTAGGGTCTTACCAAGGATTGAACCCAATCTTGAAAGGGCAAGTGTAGTGAGCATGACACCACAAATGCTGATCAACCCACAGTAAAATTTTGAGGTAAATAAATAAATTTGAGAGATGTTGCTCCTAAGTTTCAACAGTTGAACACTAAAAGTTAGCAACAGTTACCGTAGCAGGCACAGTGTCAAGTTGTCGTGCACCATGATTTGAAACTAAGATACCATCAATGCCATACTGCACTGCCAACCTTGCATCTTCTGCATTCAAAATGCCTTTTAAGACAATCTGTAACTTTGTCACCGATCTTAACCACGGAATAAAATCCCATGTTAGAGATGAATTGATCAATGATGCCACAAACTTCGCTAATCCCGAATCCTTGTTACTTTTGACTCCAGTTGCATAACTGTCGGTGTAGTTGGCTAACGTCAAATGAGGGGGTAACCCAAACTTGTTGCGCACATCAGCATACCTTCGTCCGAGGAATGGCGTGTCCACAGTCACCGCAATAGCTTTGAAACCTGCCCTCTCTGCTTTTCTTATCAAGTCTATTGTAACATCTCGATCTTTGTAGACATACAACTGAAACCATTTTAATCCAGAAGAGGCACTTGCAACATCTTCAATGGTCGATGTTGACCATGAACTCAAAGTCATACATGTACCAGCTTGGCCAACAGCTAGAGAACAATTAAAATAATTCTACTGTAGGGTGAAACAATCAAAATAGTATACAACTCCCCTCCCCTGTTGGGAACTACCTTGCCCTTTAATAAAACCCATATTATTTTTTACTCTTCACAACTTTTGCTAAAACTGTCGCATGCAACCTGCTTACAACTTGAGTTGTACTGTGTAAATCAACGGTTTTCAACTGGTTTTCTCATATGTCCCCGATTTCACATGATTGAATTACCATGTCCCCTGAACAGAAATTGCCCACTGAAGTCTATCAAAAACACGAATTTCAAAATAGTTAGTAAAATAGTAAATGATTTAAATTTTAAATAATACTGGTAGATAGAAAGTCAAGCAAACATGTTTATAGTACAAACTATTGTATTCAACTATTGTATTCAACTATTGTTTTCTCAGTCCTAGACCAGTTTGTGTCCCCTAGGAATTTGCCAAATGTCCCCTCTCGGGGACATGTCCCCCAAGTTGAAAACCGTTGGTGTAAATCAAGCAAATAACTCACTTAATACATTGCCGTAGGTGAGTTGTGTGTTTGATTTACACAGTACAACTCAAGTTGTAAGCAGGTTGCATGCGACAGTTTTAGCAAGCTTGAGTTGTGTAGAGTAAATGGCCTTAATCAGACTATCCACCCATGCACCCTGTTAACCCTTAATTTAAGTGGGAATGTGCCAAGCCAGGGTGCATTCCATGTGTAAACTCTATGCCAAAGATACACTAATATTAACTATAGATAGTATTGTAGTTTGCCAAACTCACCCTGGATATCTTTGCACTTTTGTGCACAGAATGCACCCTACTTTATTATTTTACTCTGTCTTATGCCAGATGATTTTACTCGTCAAGACAGTGCTGCCAAGGGTTAAGGCAGCTTAATTCACAAATTTGACTACCGGAGAACAAAATAAAAGGGGTTCATTTTCTACTATCGATCCAAGAGACAGTCCTGGGGGCAACCTCATACCCAGGCTATTTTCTCTTATACTCGGTGCATGGCCATTTGGGGGTGGGGCCTAGGGGCAATGAAATCTAGCTCAGAGTGAACTACCTTTCGCTGTTGCAATTTCTCCATCAGGATGCGCCATCTTCTGCATGGCAGTTGGTGCGACACAAATTGGAAAATCAATTTTCTCTCCAAGGATTGTTGTGGACATATCAATGGTTGAAACATCTCGCAACACACGAGGACGCAACCTCAGTCTGTGGAAAAATATACACATATTGGCCTGTTAGAAATTAATTTCTAAATATTCTAATTAATTCTAATTACTTCAATCATAATGTACACAAAGGTCAGCACTTGTTTCCAACCACCAAACAGACAGGACATCATTTTCGGAAGATGGTGTTAAATGGCAATGTAACTAACACAAACCCTACACCTAGTCTAACTGAAGCACAACACCTTACCAAATTAATAAAAAAATAAACTTTACAAATTGATGAAATGACGTAATGTGAGTATAGATGGAAGGTCAACAAATTGAGCAAGTTTTTAAATTAATATTCTTTAAACCGACAAATATATTTCGTACCTGTCAAAAGCACATCTGTTCTCTCTCAATGTATTCCCTTCGTTCGCTCCAGAACTATAATAATCCCAGGCGTTCTTTGGGAGAAATTCTTTGGCATGATTTTCAAAATCAGAAATACACACTGGCTCTGACATTATTAATACACACTCCGTGTTTCCACACGGAGAGAGAAATTTCACAACCACTTCGACCATTCATGCACTATTAATTAATACATTTGAATACTAGTATCTGTCGTTAATAACAAGTATTAACTAACTACAGCCAAGGGGAGTGGGGAGTCTTGCGCAGAGTTAACCTCAACTGTAACCTACTACGTTTACACAATAGCGGATAGCTTCCCGTAGCTACCTGAAATAACACCTATCCGTACCATCACTGTGGTACCACTTAGGAACGCTATTTTCAGAGAAATTATTGCAACAGAGAGTTCCACTCAGCTTGCACATTCTGGTATTGGACAGGTGTTTTTTCACGTTGCTATGGAAAGCTATCTGGTGTAGTGTAAACCAGTGTAAACGTAGTCTCACAGTTATGATTGTCAACCAGGGCAGCAAAAAAGAATTTTCTTCCTCGGAGCACAACCTGGAGACAAAAATTTCCTGCAAACCAATGGAGTATTTTTGTGTTAAATCTGCATAAATCTAGCTGCCCATGGTTTTAAATTCGAAGCATGTCTGTCAACCATGTGTTGTTGTGAGTGGGACATAGGTAAATATTTCCATCAAAACTTCAATCTTCATTCAAACGAATTTCCTGCAGCTGTTTAACATTTCCTGCGAGCCACCCCTCAAAATTACCCTTCACGGAACAAATTATTATTATACAACAACTTTTTACTATTTCGTGCGGTTGTTCGAGTTTTTTTTGAAAAGCTGAAACACTTTGAGGTTTGAAGAGAAGGGCAACGTTATATTGTTTCCGAAACTTTCACCTGTCACATTTAAAACTTTAATGCCTTTAAAATCTTTAAAAAATATTTTCAAGCACAAGTGCTGCCTTACGACCAAAGCCCTGATTGGTTATACCAATAAACTTCATTTCTTGAAACACACTGTATGTATGAGTTTATTTTGTACATATGATTGTTGGTACAAATGTTTTAAACCGTCTTCACTTGTCAAAACGTTAGAAGAACACAATTAAGATTTAGGAAGAACAAACATATGTCTTTTAACGTGATATATCTAGTTTGTTGCAAGTTTTCATATTCTTTCCAAGTAATGATAGTCTACTGTATTTTCCAACAAGTTTTTTTGTCCAATATGGTCCAATATGTATATGTTTCGTATTTATTTAGCATGTACAGGTAGTGTCCATTGTTGGCCATCATTGTCCAATAACTTGTTAGGTTAGTGTACATATAAAGGTATGTAATATCTTGACATACAATGTTCCTGACATCCATGTTCCTGACATCTATATGGTAGGTTGGATACAATTATATGGTAATTTAATAATACATGGCAGATTCCATCCCATTGCCAATGCGGGCATTGCATTTGATGTAATAATAATCCATTCAATCAGGCAAATCAGCATTTTTGCTTTCAAAAATAGAAATACATTTCTGTTAATCCATCCATTTTCATGCGATGTAATATATCCATATTATATATATTTACCATTCTTTTATCTTGCAAATCATAATCTTCTCATACATACAGTGATAACATTAAGGAGTAAATTAGGGGCTGATCAAATGGAACATCTCAGCTACCCGTGCTTTAGCCTGCGAACAGGCTCTCAAGCTGAATTGAGAGCCTGCATCGATAACTAATGAATTTGAATATCTGCCCCGTAACGTTCGTTTTTCCAAATATGGAATGTCTATCCTTATATGGTGTTGTTTACAACTTTCGTGCAAACTAAATTTAGACCGTGCAAACTAAATTTAGACCGTACAGTTTATACTGTTTTTCGAAATATAAGATATTCAAGCGAAAGTTCAAATGTTTTAAATACTGTTTTCTCAAAACAGAACATTTCGTGCTTTGATATAAGACGGCCAAGACCAATTTGATCAGTTAATGTGTTTTTTTATGGACTTTATGCATAGTGCTGCTTGAGCAGTTGACATATATAGAGCTCAGCGGAAACATATAAATTACAGCATCTGACCAATGAGAATTTCGCGTCACGATTTGAGACGCAGATATTCAAATTCATTAGTCATCGATGCAGGCTCTCAATTCAGCTTGAGAGCCTGTTCGCAGGCTACCCGTGCTTTAAATTCAGTCCCGGCTTTAAGGATAAATCCAAATAAAATCCTGCGCGCAATTACATGGTATAAGAATTTCAGCTCAGAATGATGCACTTTACCAGACTCGTACCCAGTCCATTTATACCAGGACGACCAGAAAGAACGGGTTGTGTTCAAACATTTCTTGTTTTTGCTAAAATGATAAATTTTAAAACATATTGAGCTCCAAAATACTTTATACACTCATCTCTCTACTATTTTAAACCAACATTCAGTATCTTTATGCCAGAACAAAACGACTTTGCATCATCAACTTCGACAAGTAGTTTTAACAATTTGACTCGCTAAAATAGCAGATTTCACATCAAATTGATACTAAATACTTAACTTCGGATTTTCTGTTTCTTATATTGCACTTTTGCCCAAGATATCCACCAAAATAATGCACATTTGCCCAGGAAATCCAACATTATTCTCCAACGTTGTGGTAAGGTGGGGGTAATTTCACATTTGGTGTTGAAAAAAGGTTTGGGGTCCGATCCTGAGGGGTGTAATGCATGGATTTCACGCTTGAAGCCTTAACTTAGCTGGTCGAGTTTATCTCACTCGTTCATGTTGGTCTTAAACTTAAACCTAAGAGACCTAATGCACTTGTAGATATTTAAATGTGCAAATCCTAGCAAGTTACCCCCACTTACAAGCGACCATTTTAACAGTCAACACAAAATTTTAGCATGCAGTTTAATAACACTATATATACTTGTCTAAACCTACTGAACATTTTTATAAAACGTTCATACACTTATACCCCTGAATGGCACTTTCATCATAACTAAAACTAACATAGGCACTAGTGTTGGTGTTGGAAGTTGAATATTGTTCTTGTTGCATATTGCACCGCGTTGCGTTGCATTGCACTGCATTCAATTGCATTGCTGTTGCACTGCATTGCGTTACAATTACCTACCTCACGTCGGATTGCGTTGCGTTGCATTGCATTGCATTAAATTGCATTGCGTTGCACTGCATTGTATTCTGTAGTAGTTTTGTATTGTGGTACGTTGTTTTGTGTTGTATTCTTAAAATTTAGCTATTTTTAAAGGGGCCCACAGTAATTGGTATATAGTCAATCGAAAATGTACGCTCGCCAAAATTTGAAATTTCGTGTACCGGTAAAATGGTAGCATGTAAAATGGAGTCTAATATGTTCGGAAGGCATGCAGTTAAGTGGGGACTCTCAACTCCTTCCAGCCTTAAGTCATGAGTCATGATATTTCTGAGCATAAAAAAATAAAAATACGGGAAATAAAAACAAAAATGTGCAGGTTAAAAATACTTGACTGCCTATCGCAGTGGGGAGTGTAGGTTTCCCAGCGACACACGGGACGACCAGAAGAAACGGCGTTGTGTCCAAACATAAAATGGCAAATTGTAAAACAAATTGAGCTCCAAAATACTTTATGCACTCATCACTCTACTATTTTAACCCTTTAAAAAATGACAATGCACCCACTTTTTATTTTACTCTGTCTAATGCCAGATGATTTTACTCGTCAAGTGGACAGTGCTGCAACACAGTGGATTAATCAAACTATTTGCCCATGCAACCTGTTAAACCTTTAACTGGCAATGCGCCAAGATGCGTCCTACTTTATTTTTTTACTCTGTCTAATACCAAATGATTTTACTCGTCACTGGGAGAGTGCTCCAACTCAGTGGGATAAACCGACATTCATAGTATCTTTACTGATGCCAGAAAAACCCCGAATGCGCAGTGACTTGCCGTCATCAACTTCGACAAGAAGTTGTGGCACTTCAACTCGTTATAAAATATCAACATTTCACATCAAAATTGAGATATAGAACACGATTCAACATACCTTAATCCCTGTCTTTAACTTTGGATGCTGTGCTTCTTATATTCCACATTAACTTCTGATATTGCACATTTGCCCCTTGGCATCCCTCATAGTATTGCACATTTTGACCAAGATATCCGCCAAAATAATGCACATTTGCCCAGGATATCCACCATTATTCTTCAACGATGTGGTAAGGTGGGGGTAATTTCACATTTGGTGTTGAAAAAAGGTTTGGGGTCCGATCCTGAGGGGTCCATTGCGTGGATTTCACGCTTAAAGCCTTAACTTAGCTGGTCGAGTTTATCTCACTCGTTCATGTTGGTCTTATAAACTAAAACCTAAGAGACCTAATGCACTTGTAGATATTTACATGTGCAAATTCTAGCAAGTTACCCCCACTTACAAGCGACCATTTTAACAGTCAACACAAAATTTTAGCATGCAGTTTAATAACACTATATATACTTGTCTAAACCTACTGAACATTTTTATAAAACGTTCATACACTTATACCCCTGAATGGCACTTTCATCATAACTAAACCTAACATAGGCACTAGTGTTGGTGTTGGAAGTTGAATCTTGTTCTTGTTGCATATTGCACCACGTTGCGTTGCATTGCACTGCATTCAATTGCATTGCTGTTGCACTGCATTGCGTTACAATTACCTACCTCACGTCGGATTGCGTTGCGTTGCATTGCATTGCATTAAATTGCATTGCGTTGCACTGCATTGTATTCTGTAGTAGTTTTGTATTGTGGTACGTTGTTTTGTGTTGTATTCTTAAAATTTAGCTATTTTTAAAGCCTAAAGGGGCCCACAGTAATTGGTATATAGTCAATCAAAAATGTATGCTCGCCAAAATTTGAAATTTCGTGTGCCGGTAAAATGGTAGCATGTAAAATGGAGTCTAATATGTTTGGAAGGCATGCAGTTAAGTGGGGACTCTCAACTCCTTCCAGCCTTAAAGTCATGAGTCATGATATTTCTGAACATAAAAAAATAAAAATACGGGAAATAAAAACAAAAAAGTGCAGGTTAAAAATACTTGACTGCCTATCGCAGTGGGGAGTGTAGGTTTGCCAGCGACACACGGGACGACCAGAAAGAACGGGGTTGTGTCCAAACATAAAATGACAAATTTTAAAACAAATTGAGCTCCAAAATACTTTCTGCACTCATCACTCTACTATTTTAACCTTTTAAATGGCAATGCACCCATTTTTTATTTTACTCTGTCTAATGCCAGATGATTTTACTCGTCAAGTGGACAGTGCTGCAACACAGTGGATTAATCAAACTATATTTGCCCATGCAACCTGTTAAACCTTTAACTGGCAATGCACCCTACTTTGTTATTTTACTCTGTCTAATACCAAATGATTTTACTCGTCAGGGGGAGAGTGCTCCAACTCAATGGGATAAACCGACATTCATAGTATCTTTATGCCAGAAAAACGAATGCGCAGTGACTTGCCGTCATCAACATTTCACATCAAATTGAGATATACAACACGCTTAGTTCCTGTGGAAGATGGGGATTGAAAAGTTAATGGCTAAGATCGATAAGACGACAAAGCACCTGACTGGTGGATAGGTTGAGTAGTGACCAGTGAACTGGTAGTAACTGGCAAATTCTGGGGGTATATTTGGGGTTGTATCTTTGCATTAAATAATTTCATCCCAAATCCTAGCTTTCATGCCATACTTGATACAATTTTATTCTTCAGTAACCACAATTAACATTAATTAACAAAAGTTATATGATTATAAAGCAGAAAGTTATGATCAACAAAATGATGAATACCTTAATTTAACTTAAAATTTCATGGGGGCATGCCCTGTATCCCCTAGAAAGTTCCCACCTCTGGCATGCATTGTCTTGTATTCTAGAGCTTCTCTTACACTCCCAGTCCTTGAAACTCCCGAAATTTCAGGTAAATTGCCGACCTAAAAGCTGTAATTCTCAATCTAGGTCGGCAAATATTTTCAAAACAAATAGACAATATCCAAATGAAAATTTAATTTGGTTGCTGCAAATACACGTATTTATAAACTGCAATTAATTGCAATCAACAGCAATAGCAAACAAAGCAGCTAACAAAATGTATGAACTCCAATTGAACAGTGCATGTTGTGACCAAATGTTGTGACAGCTCTATTACCATACGCTTTTGTAGGCTGCTATGTAAAATCATAATAAACTATCTATCTATTTCATATACTTTTGCTTCGACGATTTTAACACGTATGTTTACTTTCAAAGTTTCAATTATCACCTTTCAACAATGAAACTGCAATGTGACTACGCAAGCTAATGATCAAAACCTGATAATTAAACATCATCGTTGAAAATGCGTATGTGAAAGATGCATTCTCGGAAAAAATCCAAGAGGTATTTGAAAGTAGGTCTGCAAAATTTTGCCAACCTAAATCTACACATATCGCTTTGCAGGTCGGCATTTAGGTCGGCAATGCTGAATGCCGACCTGAGTTTCAAAGACTGCACTCCACTTTAGCATTCTCTACCAGCGCATTTCACTTTCAGCTATGTAATGTAGTAAGACTATTTCGTATTTTCAATTCAAGACAACAAAGTATACATTACAAATATAATATCAAAAACTATTTTTCAAGTTTTAGTTCAAATGTTGTTACTTTCCAGCATAATAGTTAATACCACAGTCCATTCCTCATCCTGGTCAAAAACCTCAACACATTTATACACATTTTCATTGTTGAGTATGACTTTCCCACAACAACAACTATATTTCTCCCCCCTTTGCCCATACAATGTTGTCCTTAGTGCAACTGCCTTGCACGTAGTCACTCAAATTCTTTCACCTCGGGAAACGTCAAGTAAGACCAGTAAAGCACAACCAGCGTGTTATAAAAGGACTGATTAATATACGATTGATCAGAGTGGAAATATCGTGTGGATCACAGCATTTCAAATTTATTTCAAATCACATGCAAACGTTTAGACAAAAAACAAACGCTCACCTTGGCACGGTACATTTTCATTGTATTGTTGTTTATGATGACAGATGTTAATAATAGCCATGTACTATTATTAATTGTACACATAAAATCACTGTAACAGAAGCAGCCATTTTGTTTTTATTTTAGGCTAGGCTGCCTGTTCGCAGGTACGTATTTAAGGCGGACGCAACCCGAGTGTTTCCACAAAAACGCCATAGCAATCTCGCATAGACAAAAATATTCCCAAAAAAATTTATTTCAGACCTACCGACCCTGATTTTTTCATAACATGAAACCAGAACCACAGGTATTTGTTTTTTAGCCCCATCGCGGTAATCACCGGACGAAATCTATTTGTCGAAGGCTTGTCAAAATAAAACCTTGTCTGAATAAAACAGAACTGAATCAAAATAAAACCTTGAACTACAAACAAGAAAGTAAATAAAATATTGCTAAATTATATTCTAAATTGATTTTATGAACCATGTTAGAACAGGCCTATGGAAAATCTGTTCGTACCATGTGCTACAGTTGCAACGTTCTAAAACCGCCCCTGAAAATAGCTCATTTTCAAACCGCAATAACTCTCCGATTTTATGAAGTAAATTCATGTTTTAAAGCATCCCTATAAAGAGTAAACATTCCTGAATTCACTGATGTGATTTTATTTTACTTTCCTTGTAAAAAAGTATAATTTACTCATGAATATTTCAATGCCACTTTAAGGACAATATTTCATTGTTCAGACCCGAAACATGCATAAATACAATGGGAATTTAACATAACTAAAATGCAATATATATACAAAACTATTCCAAAATTCGTTTACTAAATTACTAAACAAAAAAGTTATCAAAACATACCTTAGAGAAAACGTGAACTTCACGGCAAAAATCGCAATATATTTTACAGTTTTTACTCGAACGACGCGTTGAGAATATCTTGATTCTTGAATAATAACGGTCGCATTGCATTTCGGGAAGACCCTCATTCCTCCACTCATCTGCCTCCTCTGATAACAACTGACCAATCACGTTAAAGTATTGCCCAAAACGAATTTCGAATGTCTCTGTTTGACCGTTTGTCAACCGTTTCCGGGGCCTTTGCCACACCTTTGCCTATAAATTGAAATATTGAATTTTCATATTTTTTATATTTGTGTATTGAATTCTAGCATAAAAATACTTTGGTGAATTTCATAATCGTAACAACAGCACCTCCATTAATGCAATAATGGAAAACATTTTATGAATTAGAATCAAACAGATAATTAGTAGCAGCCTTCGAAAGTTCTATAAGCTCAAAGTTGTGATTTTCGCGCTCGTCGAACGCATCGTTTGTTTGTCTAGTATATGGAGTGAATTCATGTTTTACTAAAGTATAGCTATAAAGATTAAAGAGTAAACATAATTTCCTGAATTCACTCATGTGATTTTATTTCACTTTCCTAGTAAAAAAGTATAATTTACACATGAATAATTCAACGTCAACCATGCCAGTTTTTTATGGCCCCCCATGCATAAATAGTGATAAATACAATGGAAATATACAAAATGTTTTCAAAATTCTTTTACTAAATTACTAAACAAAAAAGTTATCAAAACATACCTTCGAGAAAACGATATCTTCGCAGCAGAAATCGAACCATTCGAATTTTCGAACGATGCCCGTTGAGTTTTCGGCTTGCCCGATTTTAGGGACCGCCTGTCATGCAGCAGTGCTTCCATTTTCAAAATCAAAATTTCTCATTTTTGTCATCAAAATTTCTCTAAATTCCTTAGATTGTATATGTTATTTCCTTGAAAATTCCTTGAAATTTCATTAGGCGGTTTGCAGACCTTTGCAGTGCTGTTGTAGCAATACAAAGGATTTAATCAATTTTAAAGGCACAAAATAGCACAATTAACAAAGATAATTGCTAGCTAAAAAACCACAGGCTATTATACTGTTTAAAATTAAATATTTGTTCAGTGAGTTTACAACATATACCTTTCCATTGATATAA